GGCCGGCTGCTGCTCGCAGTGCCTGGCTCTTGAAGTGCTGCTTGCTGAAGGAGTCCAGGTCTACGATGTCCTCGCCCACCTCCCGCAGCTTGGGGTTCAGCTGCACAATGCTGGGGCGCCGTGGCTCGGGGGAGCCTGATCGCCCCAGAGCTCTCATCTCGCCCTCCGTCTCCTTTTCCTCCTCTTCCTCCTCCTTCTCCCTCTCCTCTCGTGGGCCCTCAGTGCTCAGCCTGGTGCCTATCCCCTCCCCGGCCATGGGGATGGGGTCAGCCTCCACATAGTCCGGGTAGATGTTGGCCGGGGAGAAGTGCGCCTTGAGGAAGGTGACCACAGCTGGCTCGTCCCAGGCGTGCACCCCCCGCTCCTCCTTGTGGCACTGGGGACACATGTCTGGTGGAGGCCACTGCAGCTTGGGGAACCTGGGGTCCTCTGTGTCACCTCCTGCAGGGACCGGAGCCAGCACAGGGGTTAGAGGGGACACGCAACACAGCCCTCCCCCTGTACAGGTATAAACAGCCCAGAGCATCCAGCAGCTGGGGATGGCGATGGGGACATTAGGAGGAGCCGTCTCAGGAAGAGGGGTCCTCAGAGGGCACGCAGCAGCTTTGGGAAGCTCTCTGTGGGCAGCACATAAGACCTAACTGGAGCTCCGGGGTGGTCTGATGCTGCGTGACCAGCTGCTGTCCCATGTGATAGGGGACAATGACAATGGGATGTCCCCACGGCTGCACGTTAATGCAGCCACTTGCCAGCTCCACGCAGGAGGAGGAATGCTCCTCCACCTTGCCTCCCCTTTTCCCTTGGGAAACCGCCCCAGCTCCCTTCCCCGCAGCCCTCCTTACCTGCCAGGCGAGCATTGACCTCGTTGTGGTGGGACCAGAGCCAGAGGACAGCCTCCTCCCGGCCCGCCACCAGGTCCATGGACTTGGCTGCCATGGCCTCGAAGTGCTCAGCACACTCCTGGCAGCCAAAGAAGTGCTGGACATAGCAGCGCATGGTGCCCAGCACCTCCAGTGGCAGCTCTGGGGGGAGGCAGAGGACAGGAGGGGGCCTGGCCCCCACAGTGCCACAGTCCCACAGCCGAGATGACAGCCCTGCACCCTGACCCTGCAGCACTTGCCCTCCCTGCAGACCTGCCTCGGGGCAAGACAAGCCTTTGCCTGCACACAGCACCCCCACCCATGCCACAATCTGTCTGGACGCCCCCTCCCCGAGACCCAAACGCCCCTGGGAACACCGATACCTTTGTCAGGGCCGCGCTGGGCAGCCTGGACTGTCAGCAGGTGGAAAATGGTCCAGAGCCCACAGGGGTAGCCGCGGAAGTGGGGTTCGCTGCCCTGGCAGCCCACCCAGGTCACGTTGGTGGGGAGCACAGCAGGGTGGGAGGCCTGGAGGACAGATGGACAGAACGTGATGGAGCTGGCAGATAACGCGGGGTGGGGGGTAAGGGGCAGGGG